TAGGTGTTAGTGAACACCCATTAACATCGATCGTGCCTCTGTGAAAAGCCTGAACGCTGGTCACATTCGGTCGTGCTTCTTTTGTACACAAGAACACTCATCAGGTTTTGCTGAATTGATTGAATGATTGACTGGCCTGGATGCTTACCGGCTTTCCAGTTGAGTTTTTGGTGGAGCAGTAGGTTCCGGGCGTTCTGAAGTTGCTTTCAGGAATCTGACCTTCCTGATAGTTAGTGATATCGTCGTACTCAGGCAAGTGCGCTCCTCTTCTATCACTGTGCTCTCTTCTCTCTCACACACACTGCTGCTAGTTTCCTTTGGAGCTGTGCTCAGTTTTTTGCTCACTAGTCCTCTTCTGCCTTTTGTATGCGCAAATCCTCATCTGTCGAATATCTCCCCGTTTTTTTGCTGCGGTATCATAGATGTTACATTTGTGATCGCCGGTTTGTGACGCGCTTCGGCTGCCAACGCCACATGACCGGCCGCCACAAAATGGCCAAGAGTCGCATTTCGTGGGACCTCCTGACGCAATCTCCGAGTAAGTGTCACCAAGTATTTGTTCCCTGGCAATGATAGGGTTTTTCATCCGCATGATGGGCTGTGACAGTCACTAACCTGCTCCTAACCCTACAATTGGGTTGTTATATTTCATTCGAGCTACCATAAGTTTGCATCCAAGAGTTAATCAATGAAAACGATTGTCAATAACATTTTCACCTGGCTTCGCTGGGCTGTGTTCATTCGCTGTTTGTGTATTTATACACCATTGATGAAGCCTGGAAGTAATATCTCTCCGCAGTTCAAAGACCATATCTGAAGCTAATCGAAGGTCGCGTTAGAGATTACGGAGCCTCAGATGTTTTAGTTCGCTGATTTCAACTGTTCAGACGACGTGCGAGAGAATACGCTCGAAAAACCGAGCTTCTCAAAGTCTGTGCAAATGAGTTTCCTGCCTTTTTGTTCAGTTGTTTATAGCTTATATCTGTTTTCCCAACAGGTACTACTCGCAGCTCTGATCAGTAGTATATACGGAGGTACTTGATCTTGGGATATGTCAGCTCACACGCTACCGTCTATACTTATTTTTGTAAATGATGGGAAAAAACTCGGAACAGTGAAGGAACGTCACTGGTGTGCGTTCACAAAGTTGTTCTAATCTGTTTGTTCCGTCCGAACGGCACACACGGATTAAACGATTCCTTGCGATTGCTCCAATCACCGTTTACTGCGCTCACTCTAACATGAACATGGTTTTTTGCTCTTGTCAACCTTATTACCAATCCATACTCTTATAATCGCAGCATCCGTAGAGAGCGGGTCATGATTCTGGCAACGAGGGCTGAAAGTGGCCGCAGTCAAACTGAGCGTTGCGAAATCATCTCGCCGCTCGGGATATCATGATCCACCTAACATATGACTAATGACCCTACAGGAGATTCCTTGTAACCGTTCTCAGTGGCACGCATGGTCTCACTCTTTAGCCGGACTGCCTAGGTAAAAACAGCGCAGCTGAGCTACCTATATTCGGCGACATCGGCAACCTTGCCGATGTCCGTTGTTGCTGAGTCTTGCCGCGCTTATATTTGTCCGAAATCTAATATCTTTTTCAACACTCTACTGCACTGTCATAACAGCTACATTTTTCTCCATTATGATCGCATGGTCGTTTTTGTTCCATCAATTTATTTATCTGTGATTGGTTACAGTCGTTTGGAATCTATCTTGCTTTCTTAATGGCTGTCACTATTACACTGGCCTTCCCGCAGGTACTGCACATGGTAGCAGATCTCCGGATCGCCAGTGTAATACAGTTGCTCGGAAATCCAACTTGACAAGCCTACATCGGTGTAACACTCAGCCGTTGCCCGCTCCACCACCCTATCCGAGGACCAGCGAGTATGCACCGACGCTTCGCCAACCTCCTGCTGTCGACAACAGTTCGCACTCCACCGACGCCCAGCAGCCACTTGGGTCTTCGGTGGCGGTGGGCGCACACTGCTCTGCTGAAAGCGCCGCTCCTCCTCCGACGGAATCGCAACAACAACAACAACAGCTTCACTACTGCAACGTGTGCCGCATCCCGTTCATGTCTCAGCTCAGTTTTTCCATACATCTCGCGGCCGCTCACAACGCGTCCGTTACGTAACAATCAGGATTACGACCGTTATACTTCGGCAATCGGTTTTCTCCACATGTACGCACGTCCCTCTCTCTCTCTCTCCTTCACGCCCGTTCCGCTTTCATCTATTGGGGCTGTGTTATTGTTCGGTTTATACTCGTTCTGTTGTACAGAGTTTCTTATTCTTTACACACACACACACTTTGCGTTCTCTCGCGTTATTCGTTGGGCTTTTTCAATAGGCGAGCGTGTACACACTTGTGTAGTTTGTGTGAATGCAAAAATTTCGATATGAGTTGCTACGATTCGTTTTCCGTTTGCTGGTGGGGGAGCTGATGTTGATCTTCTCCTTGTGATGATGTACGGGTGAACGGCGGGTTGTAGATGATGCTTTTGTGAATGGTCCAGTCTTGGATGAATGCGGGTCCTGACATCACTTGGGGCGAGATGGATCAAGTGGTTAGAGCGCGAATTTACTGACCGGAAGGTCCGTGGTTCGAACCCGACCTCTACCTCTCGAATTCCCCGTCTAGGCTTGGGCGACCTGGCAGTATCCCAGCCCTCATGCTTCCTTTTGGTGGCATGGCACCGAAAAGGTGTTACAGCTGAACTATTGTCCCCTAGAGACTGAGTGGTTAGCGTTACACAAACTTCCGGAAGATTGGATAAGACTGTATTTGAGTTGGGCTGAATTGCCCAAATAGGTGCTGCAACGTGAGATGTGTCTGTGTTTACGACCTGCACTTTGTTCAGGTGCGATATATGCGTTCGAAGAATGAAAAAATCTCTCAGCTGTAGCACTCTTTCGGCGCCCAACTGCCATGTCGCCTGAAGGGAGCTCGAGGGCTAGAATACTGCCCGGTCGCCCAAGCCTAGACAGGGGAAGTCGAGAGGCTGAGGTCGGGTTCGAACCATGGACCTTCCGGTCAGTAGATTCGTGCTCTAACCACTTGATCCATCTCGCCCCTCTAAGAATAAAAGGTGATATTATCCTGGTAAGGACGTCACGCCTCTCACCACTCCATGCAGAATGTGTAACTATCTGTGCATTTTCATCAGTCGAGGTACAGCAGTCATCTGCAAGGAGTAAAGGATTTTGCCCTCAGTCATCCAATTGCAGGTGCTTGCTGTTGGCAATAAGTCACTTGATTTATGCTCTCTCGAAGACATTACAACAATGGAAAAAAAGTAATCATGACGCACGACGAGGCGAGGAGACCGAACAGGGGAACAAAAGGAATGCACTTGGAAAAATTTAGGAACAGTAGTTTCAAGGAGTCGGGTCGTTTAATGTCAAATGGCGTATGAGATAGATAGATCTATATGAGCGGGGTGGTAGGCATCGGATCAATGAGGTAGGAACTGTGAGGAAGGCAATGATGGTGGCGGTGGAGGTGACAATCATTTCTTAACAGGTGAGGGGCTCGGTTTGCAGACCACTTCGCGAATAAGTGACATTTTAATGCTGCCAGATCGGTTCACCACGTTCGTTTCCTATGCAATAACAGGGCTTCCATTTGGAAGCGATCGTTTTATGGACAACAACCCTGTTTGAGCACAGTCGACCGTGGCTGCGAAGAGACTTGAACTTGTTGCCATGTGGTGGTTTTGGTGCGCAATGAGCTCTACACGGAGGTTTCATTTTGACACCCACAGAGTTCCTCATAACAGGTTGGTTAATGGATAAAGGTCCGACGAACACAGTTTCCTAGTCCCCCAGGTTGGGGGATTGCAACAGGTATGTAAACTTGTTCCTTGGTGTGATGGCACCTGCCAACGGTCTTGCGGTCAATTTTTTGAGCCGAAACCTTCGGATGGGGACCCTAATCGTGTTCTTATGTGGATGTGGACGCTGTGACACTATCCCAGCTCGCCTACAACCATGAACTTTGCAACTAAAAATATTATCATACCTCATGGGTAGTCGCGTGGTGTCATCGGGTAAGTGAAAGCACGCTACTGCTGATGCCTCCCTTCTTACACTTTTGTGCCACCTCACCACAATGGTCACACTACGTCTGCAGGCCGCAACACTAGGACTGACCGCTGTGTTCGTCATGCATCATGCTCAGCTGCGGTTTTTGTGCTTCTGCACTTCGAAGTCTGTTCTCAAACCACGAAAAACGGCATACTTAACTGCCTTTGTTGTTATCACATTGGAGCAATCCGGATTACGTGCTCGTACACTGCGTTCTTTCTGCACTGAGCTTTGCTGTGTGTCAGAAACAAGGAAACAGGACGCAAGTACTGTAATTGAACTGACTGCCTCCTCCGTCTCTTCCAGGTTCCGACGGCTTACCTTTAGTCACGCGAAGGCGCCTGAAGTTGGGTATTGTGTTGTGGCAGCGAGCGGAGGCGTCTCTTCTTAATCGGATGTTCGTTGACAGCTGCCTCTGCGCAGTTTGTTTGGTAATGTGTGTGAGAGAGCTTCACCGGCTCCTGTTTATTGTATGTCCATATGCCCCGGTGGGATTCAACTCTGTATCTGCCAAGGGCAGTTTTTATGACGCCTCAAATGTCCTTTACAACAGAGTAGAAGCTCAGAAATCGTTGCCGGTGGCATGAACGGTTAGGTAGGTAGGATTGAGGCATCTGAGGCCCATTTGGGTGGTCGTCTTGTGTTGGACACGTGACGGGGAGCACCCACCCCCCATCACAGACTGTTCCTTGGCAGTAGCAATTTACGCGACACCGCACTGTATCGTCGGGCCGCCTGTTGACGACGCCTGAATCGCACCTCGCAGGCTGCGCGACAAGGAGAAGACCAGAGACCAGGAACACGGTTGTATTGTCAGGTCAGGTCAGGTCAAAATATACAAGGCTACTGGCTAAATGGCCGAATATGAACATTAGCTTTGTTGGTTCTTGTCCAATCAATGGAGACATTCCTGCCGTGACCATTTTCACACCTGCTCCGCTGACCCCATGCGGCTAAACCGTGTTTGTTAGGCTCTGCACACTCATCTGCCGTCCGGGACATATGGTGGCCTCAGCGGTCCGTCGTTTTCTGCACATGCGCTTTTCGCGCGTGGATGCCTGACACCGGAAATCCGTCGACTATTTTATTCCCACCAAGGCACCAGCTGCGCAAAAAGCGCACACCTCGCTTAGCCACTGGAAAAAAATCGTTCAGCTGTAGCACCCTTTCGGGGCCTAACTACCATGCCGCTCGAAGGTGGCACGAGGGCTGGGATACTGCCCGGTCGTCCAAGCCTAGACAGGGGAAGTCGAGAGGCGGAGGTCGCGTTCGAACCATGGACCTTCCGGTCAGTATATTCGCGCTCTAACCAATTGCGCCATCTCGCCCCCAGCCAATGGTAAACTCATGGACCTACATCCTTAAACAGGATAGGATGGAGCCCATCAGGACCAGAGGGTCGGTGAGGCCTGAGGGTAAAGGATTTCCACTTTTCCTGAAGCCATCAGGAATTGCAAGCTCTTTCTCTACCCAGGACTGTGTCGCGGATCTAGAATCCGACTGAGCATTAACAGGTTGGCAGTTGAATTGTTGTCGAAAGCGAGCCGTTTTTGTTTTTCAGTGATTGTTTCGCCCGTTGAAGGCCTCTTTTGGCCGGTTGCGTGTAGCAACTGTCCCCTCCTCATCTCCTCCGCTTTTTGAACCCACAAAATTTCCAAATCTGTACAGATGGTATTTCACCCGAATTGTGACAGTTCATCAAGTGGTATAGTTCTTTTGATCAGGATGAATAAGTCCTAGCTCCTAGCTGACTGCCAAAAGGCGTTCAAAGCGCCGTAAAAGCTTTCTCTCTCAGAGCGTAAACAGAAACAACGAACAGACAGGGATTATCAGCGCACCTATGAGATAGTCTCACAGACTTTGCCAGACAAACCTCATCCGGGTGACCATCAACGAGTGGACCAGAGACCTTTCATCTCGGTGGTTTAGAGCAGTACCAACAGGAGTAGAACCAGAGGCAGTGGTATCTGGATCATCTGAGATGTGTAGGCAGAAAACCACGAGAAGGTCAATTCAATAACCATCTCTGGGTCCTGAATCCTCGTCTCATAAAGACAGCACACCTAACGAGAACGAGTCCAACCTGCACTCAAGAGCAGTCTGTTGTCAAGCTGCTTTAGGATTACGAATGTTAGAGGCATCCAGGTTGCTATGTTGTGCGGTGGCCGAACTATTGGTTTACGCCTGCACTGAGCCTGCCAGACTACGCGATAGGGAGAAGACAGGGAACTAGGGACACGGCTGTATTGCCAGGACATACAGAGCGTCTGTGTAAATATATAGGACGACTAATTGGCCACTTGTTCGCTCCGTACAGCCAATGGTGGTGTTCCGGTCGTGAACATTCTCAGGCCCACTACGCTGGTCGTGTGTTGCTAAGCCGTTTGGTGAGAGCCGCCAACTCACCTACTTTCCGGACGTGTCGAACCGATAGTGACCTTGGGGATGCGTCACTCTCTGCACATGTGCTTTTTCTTCTGTCTGGGCGCACCCTGACACAGGTGAACTAAGCGTGGAGGGTTTGAACAGCGTGTGACCACGGGGACCGCGTCAACCGTAGATACTGCTGCTCACGGCAATGAGCGGCGAACGGATCTCTCAGTCCTTATGAATGGGCCCAAAGAAATGTCGCTAGAATCAGAGCGAGGAGGGGAAAAGTGCGTCAGCAGTAGCCTGTTTTCGCTCACCCAGCTGTGAAATATGCAGAAAGTAAGTCTAGTGTAACATTTTTGCGAATTCCATGTGAAGAATGGCCATTGGACCTCCTAGTTGTCCGTTCTTTAACCGAAATTCGGATCGAATCCAACGTCAGTAACATCCAAATTCGGATAGGGAATAATCGAAGAACCATTGGCACGTCTCTCAGAGAGGGAATATAACCACAAAGAGCATACAAGCCTCCGAAAGACATGGAAAAAAGCATATGTGCAGAGAGTGACGCATGAGCATACAACCGAAAGACATGGAAAAAAGCATATGTGCAGAGAGTGACGCATCCCCAAGGTCACCATCGGTACGACACATTCGGAAAGCAAGCACTTTGGCAGAGCTCACCAAACACGACTTAGCAACCTAAGACCAGTAGAGTGGGCCTGAAAGTGTTCACGACCGGGATACCGCCATTGGCTGCACAGAACGAACAAGTGAACGACCATATTTGACCATTTAGTCATCCTATATATTTATACAGAAGCTCTGTATGTTTTGTCCTGACAATACAGCCGTGCCCCGGATTCTCAGTCTTCTCCTTATCTCCTGAGTCTGGCAGGTTCAGTGCAAGCGTAACCAATAGACGGCCACTCACGATACAACAGTCCC